TGTCCCTCACCCCGTGGGGCCTCCCCACTCTCCCACCAAGCGGCTGCCAGAGCTGGGGCTGTGCTCTGACTCCCCTCAACCAGCCTCGCGCCACGGCTGGGCTCCCCTCCAGCTGCTCCGGCCCGACTGAGGGGCCAGCTCAGAGGGAACGTGGGCTCCAATGGCAGGTGACCACGGCTTGTGAAGACATCGCGGTGACATCACCAACACTTTCTGACCACTGCAGTACTGTCTGGGACTCCGGCTGCCCACCGTCCTTCTCTCCTTCTTGTCTTCCAGGGCCAGACCCATGTCACGGCCCTGCGAGCCCCCTCCGGCCGCCAACCCCCCCACTGGTCCGTCCTCCAGAGTCCCCTGCACCAACCCAGGCCCGGCACCCGTTTCTCTGAGGCCGTGGAGATGCACGAAGAGGCCGCACCTGATTTCGGGTGGGACGGGCGGTGTGAGTCCGCTGTCCCTTCCCTGGAGCGCAGCACCCGGTGCCTCTCCTCTGGAGACCGAGTGCGGCGCTGACTCAGTGCGCCTTCCGCCTCACACCCTGGTTCCCTCCCCGCTCTCACATTTCCTGTGGGACACGCGGTGCCCCACCGCACACGTGCAGTCGGCAGAAGGCCCCAGGAGCCGGTATTATTAGGGAAAGAAGAGCCCTCACCTCTCCTTCTTCAGTGAAGATGGAATCCGCTTTGCGGGGGTCGAAATGTTTGATCAGCAAACTCTTCAGGTGATTTTCCACCGTCTCCTGCACCTGCACGGGCTCAACGCCTGAAAGACAGCGGCCGCCCCTCAGTGCGCCGCCCCGCCTGGGAAGCAGCGTGGGGTCCGAAGTCTGCAGGGAGCCACCATCACCTGAGGAGTCTGCGCCCTTACAAATGTCTGTGTTAATCAGAGCCAACAGTAAGGACCGAAGGAGCGCAGAGCAGAATACACAGGGACGCTGTGCCCTTGTCTATATGGGCAGGAGAACATCTTCAAAACCTCACTAAGGATGAGGACAAGCGACCCAAGCAGACAGGACAGAAAGGCACACCCTCCACAGGACAGAGGGCAGGTGCCAGCCAGGAGAAGCGTGTGTGTCCACTCACGGTGGCGGCAATGAATGGACGTACTCAGTGATGTCACCTGCACCCAGCTCAGTGACTTACGATCAGGCTCTGCTGTGACGTTAGCTAAAGGCCACAGTCACGCTCAGACCTCCAGGGGCCACCCTTCGCTGCTTGCTGCAGTGCCCCTCTCGGAAATGGCACTCGGAGCACGGCCACCCTCCCTGTGCCCCAGCAGCTCCAGGAGCAGCCGTCTGCAGCCCTGCGTCCGCGGTCAGAGACAAGGACAGAGTGGATGGAGATAGCTAAGAAGTGCGGTTTGACTACTGGAGTCTTCAGACAAAGCCGCTTTCCAATTTATCAGCATTACAACGACCCCAAGAGCTTTAAGGATGGGGGGAGGTGATCAGCCAGGACAGGGCCCCCCTCGAAAAAGCACCTGTCTGAATGAGCCACTCGGCCAACAGGTTGACGGTCTGGGCCACAGCGGTGTAGTTCTCCGACAGGAGCTGGATGACGTTCTCCGGAGACCCTCCTGCCTGGAAATACCTGGACCAGGTAACAGACACGCTCTTACACCCACTGCACAGAGACAGGCAGGGGGACGGGTGACCACGGGGAGGTCGGTGAGGAGGAGGACAGGCCACTGAGATGTCTGCAGTGTGGGGGGACCCAAGACGCCGTCTGCTCTCACGCCACACCTCCCTTACTCGTCCTTGTCCCTCTGCGGGCCCGCCGCCCCCTCCCCCACTCGGGAGCCCAGACCCACCTCTTCAGCGTGTTGAAGATGGAGGGCTCCATGATGTAGTCCCGCGTGGAGAACGTGCGCAGGCACTCCTGCTGGACCTCCGCATCGTCCTCGCCCTCCGCGTACTCGTCCTCCTGCTGCTGGGGACACCGCGGGCTGGGTCATTGTCTGCAGCCGCAAACATCCTGCAATCTCGCTTCGTAAATCTCTGTGACACTGTCCTTTCAAAAGTGCCCCACCTGCGTCATCAGTGGGACTCCCGAGAACCTCAGGCAGCCGCTGGACAGTGACACATGGCTCAGAAAGTGGAACCTGTGGCCACACCAAGTGGGCTGCCCTGTGCTTCCACAGGGGACCTTGCCCCGAAGTCACACGGACTACCTCGTTTGCGGGAACCCCTCCCTGTGAACCCCCTGTGGCTGTGTGGAAGATCCATGGGCTCATTTTTGGAAGAGCCAGGCACAGTAAGAGTGTGCCTTACATTCAGTAAGAGTTCAGTAGTCGTTAGCTATCATTGCTTTACTATTATTACTACTACTATGATTATTTTGTATGTGCCATTTCACGCTTTCCAAGTGAGGCCATGCAGTGATTCTCGAGGGCACGCGCCGCCCATCTGCTGTCAGAAAGGGAAGGCACTGACCTGCCTTCCAACAGGCAGGCCTGCTGCACCCCAGCCCCGCCCTGCACGGAGCCCTCCGTGGGCCGTCAGGGACCCGTGAAGGGGGGGTGGCAGGGCCAACAGCCCACGGTCGGTCCAGCTCCCCTGCTTCTGAACACTCACGATGCCCTGAGCACTGTGCGCATCATCAGGGACAGGGAAGTAGAAGACAGGGTATGTCTCTCCCCCTGGGGGTTCATGAACTATTAGCAAAGACCAGCCTTCCTGCACCCAACCCAGCAGCTGTGGCCCAGGGCCATATCTAGCTATCTAGCCAGTCCTCCTCCTGTTTTTGTAAATAAAATTTGACTGGAACAACACTCCCTTTCTTTTTTAATCCTCGCCTGAGGATATGTTTATTGATGTGAGACAAACATTGGTTGGTTGCACCCTGTACACACCTGGACTAAGGACTGAACCCACAACCCAGCTATGTGCCCTGACTAGGGACCAAACCTGCAAACTTTTGGTGTATGGGATGACACTCCAACCAAGCTACCTGGCCAGGGCAACACCCCCATTTTCTAAAAACAGTCACTGTGGCTGCTTTCCCCCTACAACAGCAGAGCCTAAAATATTTACCCTCAGGCCTTTAGAGACATTTGCCTGCCTTTGAGGCCCGGGACCCTCTCTGAGACGGTACTGGACGGGGGCCTGAACAAGGCTGTGAAGGGGGCCGGGTTCGCCTGGAGGCCCCTGTGCATGCCTTAGCCTTGGGCTTCTACCTAGCACTCCTGCCCTCTTCATCTGTCTTCTCTTGGGCAGTGCCATCTCCCTGCCCATCAATCTCGAATTAAGTCTGGGTCCACTGATGGATGGATGGACAACCACCTCACTCCCTCTCCAGACTCAAGTAAACTACTCATGCTCATTTCCATTCAGACTGTGCCCCCCACCCAATACTCCCAACTCATTCCATCCAAAACCTACCTTGACTTTTCCCTCTAACCAGGGTTGTCCAACTCACGGCCCTGGGGCCACATGTGGCCCAGAATGGCGGTAAATGTGGCCCAACCCAAAATCATAAATTTACTTAAAACATCATGAGATTTCTTGTGATTACACGTTGCAATGTATTTAATGGTGGCCCAGAGACGCGGAAAGGTTGGGTACCCCTGCAAACATCTTCTCCCTGCAGCCCGTATTTCAGTAGAAGATTGCACATCCACCGGCTACCCCAAACCCACGAGCTCTGGCACCCCACTCCATTTCTCCTCCCTCACTGCGCCTTCCCATTGTGGGTCCCTGGGGCCCCTCTCACCATCTCTCCCTCCTTCGCTGATGTAAGCCTGGCTCAGCCTCCTCTGGCTTTCCATTGGGATGTCACCACAGTCCTCTGCATAAGCCACCAACCTGACATCTCCCTCTTGCTCAGAAGAAACACCTAAGCCCTTGCGTGTCCATGACCTCCCAGGTGCTCACCTGGCCAACCTCACCTCTCGCCACACCCATGGCCACACGGAGCTGTTGGCATTTCAGATGCTTTCAGCTCCTACCATGTGACACCCGTGGATGTGGGCCCCAGTGAACAAGATGTGGGTCACCCAAAATGGTCCTACCACAAACTTCCAAATCCCGGCTCGTGTCAAACCCCGGTCCCCTTTCTTGATGTTCGGTCCCTGCTCCAGGCAGTCACAGTTAAGGTGACCGTGGAGGGGGCATCTGGTCCACGCCAACCATCATGGGTGCCCCAGGAGCATCGTGAGTAAAGCTCTCAGGGCCTGGGTGTTGACCAGCTCCGCCAGGCCTCTCGCAAAGGTGCGGGCCCACCGCGGGGAGCTCAGTCTACCCATACAGTCCCGGCCTAGTCGTTCCTGGGCATGCCCCCGTCTATTGGTCTTGGACTCAAAAGCGCCCTGGGGCACACACGCGCTGCGGCACTCTGGGGAGCGTGCTCCCACACCACCTGGTCACCAACTTCGTGTTATCTGGACTACATGGCTGACCGTCGGTTGGGTACACTGACAATAGAGACAAGGGGCCTGGGGTCACTGTGCCTAGCAGCGAGCCCAGCCCCAGGCGAGGCCAGCGGGTCGCCCCGCGCCGCAGCTGGGTGCCGCCCCTCGTCGCCACGCCCGCACGTCGCCAGTGCCGAGCGGGGCCCCGACGCCGAGTGCGTGACCCCGGCAGGCAGGGGGCGAGGGGCGGGCCCCACCGGCTGGGGCTGGCAGATGACGGGCTGCGGGGTGCGTTGTACTAGCATCACATGGTGACCGCGGGGCCGCGGCGGCGGGGGCGGGTCCACCTGGTGCCTCTCACCTGGCCGCCGTCAGCTTCGTCGCCCCATTCTGCCGCGCTCCCAAAGTAGTCCTCGTCCATGATGGCGCCCGGCGCGGCGCCCGCCATTCCGTCCGGCGAGCAAGCGCGCGAGCAAGGCGCATGCGCACGGCCTAGCGGGAGCGCGCGCGCGTCCCCGCGGCTCGATTCCCGCGGCCGCGCGCCTCAGCAGGAGGCTGGGACAAGGCAGGGCCAGAAGGAAGGGGCGGGACCAGGAGGAAGGGCGGGGCAAAGGGAACTGCCCGAGGCAAGTTGATCCAGGTGCCCAGGGCCTTGTCGGAGTTGGGCGGGGTGCGGGCCGCGGGAACTTCCTGTATTGACCCAGGAGCACAGCCTGGCCAGAAGTTTTGAACTAGACTTGTGTGTGTCCTGGGTTCCCGTCCTTTCTCCTGCTTCCCTGCGACCTCCAGCCCTGAGAGCATCAGTTTCCTCATCAGACAGCTGGCCACCTACCAGGTCTGACTTACCATTGTCTAGCGCCCATGAATGTGTTTTACTTTTTTTTAATCAGAAGAAACATAACTTACAACAATGAGTGCAGCCTGGATCGTATTAGTATATGTATAACTGATATAAAGAACTAATGGAGAATAATGTATAGTTTAACTATTCCTTCATGAAGGGAAGGGCCCAGGGCCCACCTGGTGCAGTAGCTGCTGAGTATAACTGAGGTGTTGCTTTTTAAGCCTGTAGCACAGCGGCGCCCCCTGCCCTGGGGGGAAACTACATTTTGCTGAGGGAACAGGATGGGGGGAATAAATACAATAGTGAGGAAGGCTAGTGTTCTGAGATAACAGGAGAGCGACTTCGGGCAATCAGAGAAGGCTTCTCTGGGGCACACGACAAAGGGAGTCCAGCAAGCTGTGACCCACAGAGAACATTTTAGGAGAACAGAGCTGCTTGCCACTTGTCCTTGGAAGCCAAAGACCATCGAGACTGGTCCCTGGCTGGCCAGGGAGAAGCCCAGATGAAGTGGATGAGGCAGACAAGTCCAGAACCTGGTGGGGAGGTAGGTTTTAACTGAGGGCTTTTAGAAAGGAGTTAGAGCCCTGAGCATGAGTGTGCTCGGTAAGTATTGATTACTGTGACAGAGGAGAAACGATTGGGGGTTTGGTTTTGCTTGCTTTGAGAGAGTGGCAGGACCCTATCTGAGTGTGTGATGCCGTGTCCCATAGCTGGTGGAAGCCTTACGTCCAGGAGCCTGGAGACGGGAAAGGACGTTAGGCCTTCGTGAAAGTTAACTAACTGTTCTGAGCAGGGCAGCTGAGATGGAGGTTCAGTCCAGAGAATGAGGCAGTCTTAGTGGGGGCGGGGCCCACAGCGACCCAGGAGGATGCTGAGAGTTGCAGCCTGCGTCCGGGGACAGTACACCACAGAGCTGGGAAGCCCAGGAGGAGGGCAGGTTTCTGCAGGGGACCATCATGAGTTCAGACAGGGACGCACAGAGCTGCAGGTGCCGTCGGGACCCCCCTTTGGAGATGTCTTGCAGCGAGCTGGAGGTGGAAGTCTGAGACCCCAGATTTGATGCCTGAGTTCCAGCTTCCATTCACGGAATGAAAGTGTGTTAAGTTAATGAATGCCTCTGCTGAAGGCTCGTTTCAGGGTTCGTTTTCACGTACGTTCTGAAATGTTGCAAAGAATGGATGCCTGTTAAACTCCTACCTCCTCTCCTCTTGGATTTTCTTTTTTAAAATAGTGCCTGAATTGAAGGCAAATTAATATATGTATAACTAATTGCTTCTATTGAGGCAGGGATTATGTAACTCACCTCTCCCTCGATGAAAAGGTTACTCATTAAATGAATTAACAAACAACCCCTAATGAAAACATTACCTTGGGTAAGTCGAAATGATTTAGTATAAATGTGTCCATAGGTCTCATCTCCTGAGCTATTGTTGACTTGGTTTTGAAAAGCCTATCTAAAATGTCCAAATTACCTTGTGTTACTTTAACATAAATACTCTAAAATCATTTTAAAATGCTTCCCTGTTTAAGGCAAATTTTGGTGGAAAATTTCCATAGAAGCGAGAAGTTGGTTTCACCCCTGCCCCCCCAATTTGAGGAGCATTTCCACAGTGTGCCTTCTGGGGGGCCTGTGCTGGGCGGAGCTAGAAATCACGGACATGGGTTAGTGACAACGTCAGAAAGGAGAAAAGCCGTCACTTGGGATAGGAAGAGTGCAGAGGGGACGGGCCTGCACACCTGGAGCGTGAAGGGGTACCTTTCTAGGGAAATGACATTTAGGCTGAGACTTTGGGCTTGAACCTGGAGTACAAGGAGAACAGGCACAGGAGAGCAAATACAGGTGACAGAGAGACAAAGTGGCCCGAGTGCGGACCTGAAAAGGAGGGAGAGAGAACGGCCAGAGCCGATGACCTCATCACGTGCAGGAGGCTTGGCCTTCGTCCCTGTGGTCCCGGTAGCCACTGAGAGCCTTTAAACACTAGAGGGGCAGGGTTTTGAGGAGGGCATCCTGGCCACCCCGGAGCGAGGATCCAAAGGGAGCAAAGCAGAGGGTGTCAGGCCAGTGGGGACGCTGGTGACCAGATGTCCAGGTGAGACTGGCTGGTGACCGAGATGAAGGCAGGCCTGAGGATGAAGCGAGCACACTCGGGAAAGGCTCAGGAGGCCGGAAGACCGGGTCCGAAGGGTCTCACCTGCTGAGTGCGTAACAAACCCCGAGGGTATTTAAGTCTTCATCTTCTTTCCCCATGTCCACGCACCCCCCTCCCCTGAGCTCTTCATGCCACTGAACAGTGCCCGCCAAGGCCAGCCTTTTTGCCACATTCAAAGAGCACCTCTGACTTCATTCTAACTGATCTCTCACATTGGCACGGACAGCCCTGACCCTCCCCAAACACGCTCCCCTCTCCGCCTCGGCAGCACCGCACCCTCCTGATCTGTCTCCTTCTCTGGCGTCTTCCCCTGTCACCTCTGTGCACGTTCTCCAAGTATTTCCATTCCCCAGAACCTGGGCTGGGAGTCTTCGCCACGTCCCCTCTTTTCCTAACGGGTCTCATCCTTCTTGCATCTGCAAAGCCGCCGCTAGGCCGAGAACTCTCAACTCTCTCTAACCCTTGTGCCTTCTCTCATCTCTGGACGTGTGTATCTAAGTGACCTAGTTTCCCCTTGACCTCACCACTGGGTTTCCCTGTGGACATCTCAGCATCTCTGTGAGGGCCCAACGAGGTCTTTCTGCAGGGAACGGGGCCGCCAGCTCCGCAGTTCCCAGTCCCCAAAGGCACTGCCTGGGTCAGTTCTGCGTTAAAACTGTGCCTCCAGCCCTGTCTGGTGTTGCTCAGTGGATTGAGCGAGGGCCTGCGAACCAGACAATCGTGGTTCGATTCCCAGTCAGGGCACATGCCTGGGTTGCACACCAGTTCCCTGCAGGCCAGTTCCCAGCAGGGGAGGCACAAAAGGCAACCATACATTGATGTTCCTCTCCCTCTCTCCTTCCCTTCCCCTCTAAAGATAAATAAATAAAATATTAAAAAAAAACAAAACAAAACGGTGCCTCTGTCTCTCCATGTCTCTCACCTCCGTTGGGTTTCTCTGCCCAGGTGTCCACTAGGTCTCACCTGGTCAACTGCGAGAGCCTCGAGCTAACCTGACCGCACCCATCCTTGCTCTCCAAACATCCACAAAGTTTTGCCTTTTTAAATTTTCCTAATTCACTTTATCAGAAAGAAAACCACCAAAGATTGCAAAACTCCCCCTGGTTTTTGCTATAATTTTGTCCCTATGATACAAGTAAACTGGACAGACATTTATGGAACTTCTAGATGGAAGGGGAAACGAGGGACCGAGGCGAGTCTGGCCTGTGCTGCAGATCCAGCCAACCATCTAAATCCCTGAAACGTGTAGAGAAGGATGGTGTGCTGTCAGACGTTACTGAGAACGCTCTGGAAACCCAGGGGAGGGCGATTTGATTTCCCGCCGAGACAGTGAGGGACTGTGTCTGGGAAAAAATGGCTTTTTGAGTAAACACCCAGAAGGGAGGCAGCGTTCGAGCAGGTTGAAATCCGAGAAAAGGGCATTTAGGGAGAAGGAACGAGAAGCAAGGACATTTGGGGAACACGAAATGGCTCGGTTCAGTCGACCCCGAGGAAAGGGTCAAGGGCCATAAGAGAGAAACCTGAAAAGCAGCGTGAAATCTTGGGGTGTCTGGGATGGCGGGCTGACGATGGTGTTAGCCTCCTGCTCTGTAGGGACAGGCAATGGGGAACTTTGAAAAGTCCGAGCAGGAGACACCCACGGACAGTTTTACTGTGATGAGAATAACCCAGCAGCTGTGCATAGGGCGATTTAGAGGCTGTGCAGTTCCCATCCCGAAATTTCTGTTCTGCTGCTCCCAAGGGTTTTACTACCTGCCTTGACAAGAGTAGGGTTTACGCGTGAGACATCACAGGCCTGGCCATAAAAATAGGCTGTGACTTCCATTGTGTCCCACTGTCTCCTGGATCACTTGCTTCGGAGGAAGACAGACGCCAAGACATTGGCGACCCTACCGAAGAAAGCACGCGGTGGGAGCTGAGTCCCAGGGCGGCCGAGGAAGTGCGGCCGGACTCCCGGTGAAGCCCGGCTGACATCACACAGGCGACCTCATGCAAGACCGGGAAGCAGAACCTCTCAGCCAAGATGCTTTCAAATTTCTGCCCAACAGAAGCCAGGAGATAATAGATATGTGTTATTTTAAGCCGATAAGTTTGGAGTAATTTTTTTTTTTCAGCAATAATTAACTTACACAAGTTTCAAGACTGTTCTTTCAAAACGTTAATCGGATTAGGTCCCTCCGCTGTCTGATACCCTCAGGGGCTTCCCCATTTCAACTGGGAAAAAAAATCCAACATTTACTTCTATGGAGCCTGGTGACTGAGTGAGCTCCACAAATCCGGCCCCCAAAAGCTGGACAAAACTCAAAAATAGCCGCTGCAGCCCCCTGGAAATAAAGACACACAATGAGCTGAGAGGTGTTTGTCAATGGCAGTCACTAAACTTCCGGTGGGAACATTGTGGGTCTGGGACACTGTCCCTTGTGTGGCTCCTGTTCTTAAAAGTGACTGGGGAGATGCCCTTAACGTCTGACTTCTTGCAGGAGACCAGGGAGACCAAAGGCAGGAGAGTGACCTGCTCAGAGCGGGGGAACCAAACAAATTGTCCTGCAAGACTGTACCCAGCAGATACAAGACACGAAGGGAAATAAGCACACGTTCAGGTAAACTGAGTTAGACCGAAAGGATCTGTTGCTAGCGCACCTGCCTCACAAGAGATACTCAAGGAAGTTCCTGAAGTTGAAATTAACACTAGACAGTAACATGAATGCACGAGAAGAAATGAAGATGACCAGAAATGGTAAATACAGAAATTCTATAGATAAGTTCTATCTCTTCCTTGCCTTTTAAAAATATATAACTTGGGTGAGGGTGAAGGAGGGTATAAGGGGGGATAAATGGTGATGGATGGAGACCATCTATAGTTATGTAATTATAATTACCAATTATATATATAATTGGACAAAATAATTGCACCACTGCATGATTGGGTGTTATAGCCAAAAGTATGGGGGAGAAAAAAATGAGACATATCGGAGCAAAGTTTCTATATTTTGTTGAAATTAAATTAGTATTATTCTGAAGCAGATTGTGCTAAATTAAGGTGCATTTTATGATCCTGAGAGCTATTGCTGATAAAATAACTAAAAAAAAAAATAGTAAAAAGACCAATAGATAAAGTCAAAGGGGCCCATGAAAACATATTTAACATAAAATAAGGCAGTAAAGGAGAACAAGAGAGATGTAAACAAACAGAAAACATACCGAAGGGGACAGGCACAAATCCCGACATGTCAGGAATGTCATGAAATGTGACTTCCTCCAAGACAGATTGTCAGACTGGATGACAAGGCGAGACTCGCTGGGGCTCACTGCAGGCCGCCTGAAGAGACGCATCACGGCTGCGAATACACACGGGGTGGAAGCAAAGGGGCAGGAAGAAGTTCTCCGTGCAAACAGTAACCATAAGAGCTGGGGTTTCTATACGAGCGTCAGACAAATAGACTGGGAGGCGTGAAAGCCAATCATAATGGTAAACGGGCCAAACGTGAGGCAGACGACAGCAAGGGCAAGTGTACGGGCGCGTATCGACCTCTGTCGGCTAACCCACAGTCGGTGAAGGAGAGGGAGAGGCTGACCGACGCCAGAGGAGAAATGGACAAATCCTCAGTAAGGGCTGGTAGCTCACATCAACCGTTACTAAGTAGCAGGGCCAAAAAGTCAGCAAGGGTAGGATTGCAAAATGGTGCAACAGTTATGGGAGACAGTGTAATGGGTCCTTGAAAATTAAAAACATGGTTACTACAGGATTCCACTTCTGTGTATAGACCCGAGAGAACCGCAAACAGGGTTTCAGGCTGTTTGTACACCAACGCTCATCACAGCCCTGGTCACTCACCGTAGTCAACGGGCAGAAGGAGCCCAAATGCCCATCGCTGGACCAGTGGATGAACAGGTGGTCCGTCCATACGGTGGAATGTTCCTCGGCCTTCAAAACGAAGGGAATCCTGTCCCCTGCTACAACCCAGAGGGGCGCTGAAGACATCACGTTAAGTGAAACAAGCCAGTCACCAAAAGACACACGCTGTGTGGGAGTATTCCACTCACAGGAGGTGTCCAGGTAACGAAATCTATGGCAACCAAAAGGAGAATCATGGTTGCCAGGAGCTAAGGAGAGGGGAGGACGGGGATTATAGTTTCATAGTGTGAGGCTTCGGTTTTGCAACGTGAAAAAGTCCCGGGGCTCTGTATCGTAACATACTTACTGCATACTTAACACTACTGAACTACACACTTAAACACACGGTTAAGGTGGGAATTTTGTGTCATGTGTTTTAACCACAATAAAAAAAACCAACGAGGATTTGGAAAAGTTGCACGACACTACCAACCGACCTGACCCGACACTTACCCAAAACACCCAGAGGCTGGAGGAGACACACTCTTTCCGAGAGCACGGGAAGAAACGTTTTTCATAAATGAGATTCAGAACTTTACCGATGAAAATGATACAAAATACATTCTCTGGTCACATCTGTATTAAAGTGGACCTCACGGCAGAAAGAGATCTAGGAAATTTTCGAAAGTAAGCAGCACCTCTTTTTTTTAATTAATTTATTTTAATTGTTGTTCAAGTACAGTTTTCTTGGCTCCCATTGCAGCCCACCCCCCCAGTGTTCCCCACCTCCCTCCCATTTCCACCCCCCTTAGTTTTTGTCCGTGTGTCCTTTATGCTGGTCCCTTGAACCTTTCTTCCCCTTTTCCCCCTGAACTTCCGGGTCAAAGAAGAAAGCCATGACAAGAGCAGAAACACTTCAAAGAGAATTAAAACAAAAATGACAACATAAGGCAGGGCGTGAGTTGTCACTGAGGCTGGGCTTAAAGAGAAGTTTATAGCTGCACGGGCCTGTATTGGAAAAGAAAAGGTCTCAAATCAATAACCTAAGCTCCCGGTTCAAGACATTAGAAAAAGAACAGACTAAACCAAATCCAGCAACAGATAGAAAGGACTGTAGCCCTTTGTTGACCAAATGGAATGGTGATATACAGCCTGCATGTCAGTAAGCGTGACCGTCAAAAGCTCCTAAATTTACATCTCCACCATTCAAAAAATTGTCCAGCTGAAAATCGCAATGTCATGGTGTTAAGTCCAATTCTCTGAGTTGGAGACTTTGATAACTGCCTGGATGAAGTGTGTGCATCCCCAAATCAAGGAGATGTGGCTTGGCCGTGGCCAGGGAGCTCAGCTGGCTAGAGCATCTTCCAGATATGCCAAGGTTGTGGGTTCGATCGCCGGTGAGGGCACGTACAAGAATCAACCAGTGAATGCATAGATGAATGGAACAACAAATCAGTCTCTCTCTCTCTCACACACGCACACACACACACACAAATCAATCAATAAATAATTTTTTTAAATGTGGCCTGGAGCAAGAGGGCTATCACATCATGCAAAATGGCTGCCAGAGGTTTTGTCATGAATGGGTACCAGATCTTGCTAGACTTGTTCCTGCCTCTATTGCTGAGGTCCTGTGATCCTTCTTTTCATAGCCTGTCGATGGGATGGATCACATTAGTTGATTTTTGAATGCGAACCAGCTTCGCACACCCGCGTTGAATCTCACTTGGTGGCGGCACACAGTTCATTTTGAATTTCAATGGGCTGATGTTTTGTTGGATCTCTGTTCCTGGGAGATATCCGCCTGCAGTTTTCTAACATCTTCTGGTTTGGTCTTAGGGCAACCCTGGCCTCGCAGAATGAGTTTTAGGAAGTATTTCGTCTGCTCTGTCCTCTGAAATAGGCGGTAGAGATTTGGTATCATTTCTCTCTTAAAGATGTAGTAGAACTCACCAGTGCACTCCCTTGGATTGTCGCTTTCTGTCAGGGAAGGTTATTCTTGTTGATTCAATTTTTCAAATAGATACAGGGCCACTCAGGCTGTCTCTTCTCTCGGAGTTTCGGCAGACCGTGTTGCTCAAGGCGTTGGTACGTTTCCTCCAGGTTATTACGAGTGTGTAGGCAGAGCTGTTCACGGTATTCCTTTACCACGTTTTTTACTTCCTTTATCATAGTATTAGTTCTCATGGCATCCTAGTGATGTCTTCTCTTTTTTTCCTGATACTAGTCATTTGCATTTTCTCTTTTTTTTCCTACTTAGGCCGGCTAAAGGCCTGTCCCTCTTATTAATCTTTTCCAATGATCAACTTTTGGTTTTGTTGGGTTTTCTCTGTTTATTTCCTGTTTTCAATTTCACTGACTTCCGCACTGATTTTTGCAATGTTTCTTCTTCCTCTGGATTGAATTTCTCCTTCTTTATCTGGTTCCCGAAGTTGACGCTCAGACGATGGATATTGGATCTTTCTTCTCTTCAAAGAAACGTATCTGATGTTAGAAACCTTCCTGGAAGCTCTGCCTTGACCACATCCCACAAACTCGGAAAACTCGTATTTTCATTCCATTCAAAATATTTTAAAACTTCTCTTGCAAGTTTTTTGTCCCACGTATTCTTTAGAAGTTTGTTTTCTAATCTCCACATGTTTGGGGATTTTCCAGCTCTCTTTCTGTTAATAATTTCTATTTTAATTCCGTTGTGGCCTGAGAGAAGACATTGTATGATTTTTTATTTTATTTTTTAACGTCCACTGCACGGCCCAGAATGTGGCTTGTTTTGCAGCTGGCGCATTGCTTTTTATCTTTTTCCTGCACGACACCAAAGATGTCCTTCCGGGCGCTTCTCGCTTGCGTGACTTCTGAGAAGCTGACCGTGTCCTTGTCTTTGCTTCTCCGGAGGGAAGGTGGTTTCGCCCCTGGCTTCTCTCAACATTGCTCTTTACCTTTGGTTTTCTCAGGTTCAAGTACGACGTGCCCGGGTTCATGTTTTCGGCATTCATCCTGTCTGGCGTGGTCCGACCTTCCTGTGCCTGCGACCTGGTGTCTCCCATTAATCTGAGGAAATGCTTCGTTATGATGGTTCCCAGTGTGTTTTGGGTTCCTTTTGCCCCTCGCTTGTCCTCCTGGCGTTCCCATCACAGGTACGTCACAGCTTGCGTGGCTGTCTCTCAGTGCGTGGCTGTTGTGTTTCATTTTGGTTTGGTTTTCCCTGCTGTTTTCTTTGTCTCTGCTTTTCCATTTGGGGAGTTTCTGTTGCCACGTGTCCGAGCTCGGAGACCCTTTCCTGCGTCACCACGGCCAGGCCAGCATCTGGGCCTCGGAGATACCGAGGCTTGGCTTCCGAAGCAAGTGGGAGTGATCTTGCTGGTGGGGGGTGTGGCCTCCAATTTGTAAATAAAGAAGTAAATAAATAACAAAACAAAAAACCCCACCATGTTTGAAATGTAACAACATGAGGTCTGCCTGTACTCATGAGTCCATCGAAGGCATTCTTCATTTTAGTGTTTTTTTTTAATCTCCACCATTTTTCTGTTCTTTCTGAGAATTCCCGTCTCGCTCTACATTGCCCCGTGTTCTTGCGTGCGTGTGCTTTTTCCATTCAGTCTGTGAGCTGGTCCGTCCTGGTTTTCAAAGCCCGGGTCTGGTCAGTCCGGCCTCCCTGCCATCTCTGCGTCTGGTCCTGGAGCTCACCGTCTCTTTAACTTGTATTTTTTGCCTTTTAGTATGCCTTTCAGGGCTTTGTTTTGTTTTTTTAAGATTTTATTTATTTTTAAAGAGAGGGGAAGGGAGGAAGGAGAGAAACATGGGTGTGAGAGAGAAGCATCCATGGGCTGCCTCTTGCCTGAAACCCAGGCTTGTGCCTGGACTGGGAATCCAACCTGGGACCATTCTGTTCGCAGGACGATGCCCAGCCCACTGAGCCACGCCAGCAGGGCCCTGCCTTTGAGTGTTTTGTTAGGAGATGGACATGCTGTACTGGTCACGGAACTGCAGTCGATGTGCCTTGGGTAACACTGCAGAGTGTGGGGAGGGCGAGGCTTCCCCTGTCCTGATTTACTCTCAGTCCTTCGGTGAGCCTGGGCCAGGGACCACCCCGTGGGTGGGATGGGGTGGCCAGGGGCCTGGAGTTGGGTGTCTCTCCCCTCCCAGTGGGAAGCTTGGAGCCCCGTGGAGCTGGGTGTTTTCCTCCCCACCCCCAGGTTGTGCCTGATTAGACCCTGGCAGGGGAGGCCGTGTGGCTCAGCGGTTTCTCCGGAGGGCGGGCCTTGAGTCCAGGGCGTCAGCCTGTGGAAAACCAGGACCTGCCTCTCTCCTGCCTGGAAGCCAGAGGGCACTTTGCTCAGATGCTCCTGGGGAGGCCCTGGTGACGCTCCCGGAGGCCAAAGTACAGAGGCGAGGGGTCCTCCTACCCCTGGTCTCCTCCCGAGTTTTTACCCCTCAGAAGCGTCTACACTGAGGCTGCAGCAGCAGCCCCGGTGGGAGGGTTGGCGTTGGATGGCCCTGCCCCACGCTGGCCCCTGGGGCGGTGTCCGTGCCAGGAGTTTGTCCTGTATCAGCCTGTGTGTCTGTCTAACGCTACCTCGGGGGGTGGGTGCAGCCATCTAAGAATCGTCGATACTTCAGTTCAGTTTTTTCCCTGCTTGATGGGGTGGTGACTTCTAAGGACCTCCCATGCTAGACTGGACACCCATTTTTATTTGCAAACTGTATTTTGTACTTTTCATGTGCATTTTATTATTTTTTTTTACTTATTAATTTAGGGCACGAGAAACAGCAATTTTGTTGTCCCATGTATTGGTGCAGGCATTGGTTGATGTACGTGCCCTGACCGGGGATCGAACTCACAACCTAGGTGCAGTGGGACGATGCTCTCACTGACTGAGCTGTCCGGCCAGGGCCTCACATACACTTTAGAATCAGCTTGTCTAATTTTACAAAAGTCCTCCTAGGATTTGGTAGATATTTCACTGAACTTATAGGTAGAATTTACCTCTGGATAACACTGAGTACCACCCCCCCCCCCCCAAAAAAAAAAAAACAGGCTCCTTCCCCAGTTCCTTAGGCCCAGCGGCTCCCTTCCGTGGCTCTTTGGTATTTTTCCGCACGCAGGTCTGGTAGTGTTTTGCTAGATGTTAGCCTACGAGTTTCAGGATCTTTAGTGCCCTTTTCAGTGGCACTTGAACATTCTGATTTTGTGAAGGTTCGTGGCCGGTGTCTAGAAATTTAATTGATTGACTTGGCCCTGTTGTGCTGAGATCTGGCCTAGTGCATCTGTTAGTTCCGGAAGCTTTGAAAGCAGAATCGCTTGCGTTTTCTATGTAGATGATCGTGTCAGGCACAGATCGAGAATTTCATTGTTTATCCCAAGTCTGTTGGACTTTTATTTCTTGTTCCTACACTGGCGAGGGCCCCCGGTCCATGGAAGCGGTGAGAGTGGACGTCCTTGCATTGTTCTTTCTCTTCTCTGTAACATGAGTGTCTTTGATATTTTAAGAGAAATGACACATTTGAAAGTAAACTTTTAACAAATACAGAAATATATTTTTGTGTTTCATTCTTGATTTTAGAGAAAGCCTTCAGTTTTTCAGTTAAATATAATGTGAGTTGACAGGTTTTTGTTAATTGCCCTTGATACCGTATTTTGCCATGTATAACATGCACGTTCTTGCCCAAATTTTGAGGATAAAATAAGCATGTGCATTATACACGGGTAGTACTAATTCCATATTTATATAAATATTTTTAATTCTTTTTTTATGCTTATGCATTAAAAGTATAACTCTAGAAAGCAGTAACAATATCCATATGCAAAATAATACCCTTTATAATATAAAAGACAAGTATCAGAATATAAATAAATAAACAGTTAATTAAATTTAAAAGTTAAAACAAAAGATTTTTTTCCTGAAAGTTTGGGCCCAAACACAGGTGAGCATTCCACACAGTACAATACCATTCCTAGTGTGGGGGACGTTTTCATCTGGCTCAATGTCCGATTGTGTCAGATGCTTTTAAATTTTTCTTTTTTGCTTGTATGGAGAGGTTCATAAGAGTTTTGGGGTGTTCTTTGCTCTATTAATTTGTATTCATTGATTCTGGAATATTGAACCAATTTTGCATTCCTCAGTTAATCTGCACTTTCTGGGGATGTGTTATTTTTTTCTGCATTGCAGAACTCAGTTTGCTACTATGTTATCTCTCATTTTTGTGTCTGTGTTCGTGAGGGATGGGGGTCTGAGGGTTCTCTTTTCTTGTCATGTTTATTTGAGGTTTTGGTATGGGGCAGTTACCTCAAAAATGAGTTCGGAAATGATTCCTTTCCTTCTATGTTCTGGGAGATTTTGTGAGAATTTGTATTATTTCTTCCATCCGTGTTTGGCGGAACTCACCTACCCCTGAAGTGTGGAATTTTGAAGTTTTTGTTTTTGTTTCAAATGAATGCAGTTTCTGTGTTAGATTAGACGCGGGTGTAGCTGATCACCTCGTTCCTCTTTACGGAGCTTAGGAAGTGTGTGTCTTCCAAAGGATGTGTCCATTTCATTTGCTTTGTCGAATGTCTAGCTATATGTTTAAAATATTGGTTTATCCTTCTAATGCCTCGGATCTACAGTGTGAGCGCGCTCAGTCTTGCTCAGCCTGCCAGCCGATATCCTCAGTTTGGGGATTTTTCCTAATCAGGCTAGAGGTTCCCAACTTCCACTGATCTCTCTGAGGACCCGCCCTCTGGTTTATCTGTTTCTCTCGTGTCCTTTCTGTTTTCGGTGTCCCCATCCCGCCTTTATCTCCAGTATTTGCTTCTTTCTGCTTACTTTGGGTTAAGTTACTCTCTTCTTCAAGGTGGTAGCTAGGTCACTGGTTGGAGACCTTTCTTCTGTCCCGAGGTAAGTTTTTCATGCTATCATCTTTTCTCTAAGTGAGTTTTTAGCTTTACCCTACAGCTTTGATGAGTTGAGTTGAAACATTGTCATTCAATTCGAAGTATCTTTAATCGCCCTCTGTGACTTTCCCTTGACCCATGGGCTACGTAGAAGGGTGTAATTTAATTTCCGAACGTTTGAGGGTATTCCGGATGGCTTTTGTTCCTGGTTTCCAGTTTAATTCCTTTGTGGTCAGAAAACATGCTGCATCTTGTTCCAGTTCTTTCAGATTGGCGGAGGCGTGCTCTGATCCCAGAATGCGGCCTCGTCCCGGGAGCAGGCCACGAGGACCTGAAACAGAGTGCGTTCTGCCCTGTGAAGCTCTCAGTCAGGGCCACTTGGCTTTCTTCATTCAAACTCCATTTCAGTCCGCTTTTCTGCGTCTTGCCCCTGAATGTCCCTGCCCTTAAGGAAGTATAACTGGCCCGGTCATTTGCCCAGTCCCGTGGCCACAGGGGCAAGGTCCTCTGACTGGCCCCGCTTGAGCGTCACATGACTGGTGTCGGGGATGACTGCTCCCCAGAGGCATTGGGGGTGCTGGCCAGGCACCGCTCGGCTGTCGTGCGTCTGTGCACACTCGTAATTCCCATCTGTTCAGCGTTTAAAACTCCCCCATGTGTAGCTCCTAAACGACTCCGAAATCTGACTTCTTTCGCAGGTGAAGATAATGCAAAAGCCACATCCAGCCAGGTCACCGTTGGTGGCAGGTTGTCCGGGTGGGCCACCTCCGGTGTCGCAGCGTGCCTGAGTGTTATTCCTCCTGCTTCCGGAACCAGTGCGCTAGATGAACAAACGCACTCCTACCCACCAGGGACACCTGGGTGCAGAACCGCCTCAGACTAATCCTCAGGGCAGCTGTTCGTCCTGGTGGCTCCTGACACGTCACGGCTGCTGAGCAGGGAGCTGTGCATACCAGGCAGGTGATGGGACCAACCCGGGCCTCCCGTGAGCAAGGACTTTGAGGAAAGGCTGTAAAGGAAGGAAAGAAGAAAACACGCAGGCCTGTGCCAAGTCACAAGCGCGCACCAGTCTGGAGGCACTGGGCCGGTTCCCTCCCACGGGGAGAAGGCGCTGCTGAAGTTTGCACTGAACTGATGCCACCCGGGCCACACGGGGGCTGTGGCACCGGCGAGAGTGCCCTAGGAACCCCCAGTGGACCTCCTTGGTGCCTTGGTGGGGGTGAGTCGGGTGCCGGCTGCTGCTGAGAAACTCTGTTGTGACCCTGAGAAGGGTCGCAATGGCCGTCACTCCACTCATCTCCTGTCCGCAGTCCTGCCTCCGGTGGCACATGAAGCCATGCTGAGACCCCAGTAAGGAGCATTGGCTCGGAAGGAGTATCCCCCAGACCAAAGGGCCGGGCGGGGGCGGTGTCCCGGGCATGCTTCTCCTTGGGGAAGATGAGGAAGAAGAGTTATAATGCGCCTTGGGCTGAGATAGTCTGGAGGCCATCTGACATCACCTTAGTCTAGTCCATGACCTGGGGCCAAGGGAGTGACCCAGCACGAAGAGTTAGAGAAAAGGGTTGACGTTCTTGGGTCTTGACTTTGTGGACTTTCTTCCAGGGTGCCCATTGTCATGAGACCTGGACTGACTTTACTAAGAAAAGATGGGGGTGGGGGGCGGGGCCTGGCCGGGTAGCTCAGTGGGTTAGAAAGTGGTTCTCATACACCACCGTTGCCAGTTTGATCTCCAGTCAAGGCACAGACGAGAATCATGAATGGCCAGCTGGTGCGGCTCAGGGGATGGAGCCCTGGCCTGTGAATCCAAAGGCCGCCGGTTTGATCCCCAGTCAGGGCACATGCCTGGGTTGTGGGCCCAGTACCTGGTTGGGAACATGCGAGAGGCAACCAATCGACATCTCTTGCATGATGTTCCTCTCCCTGTCTTTCTCCCTCCCTTCCCCTCTCTCTAAAAATAAATAAGTAAAAGCTTTTTAAAAAATCAATGAATGAATGTATTAATAAGTGGAACAGCAAATGGATATTTCTCTCTCCCTTCCTGTGTCTCTCTAAAAAAATTCAGTAAAAATCAGTACAAATGAAAACAGGAGGGGCATCATTTGTCACTTTCACTCTGTCCCCTTCTCCGATGAAATGCTGTTGTGTGGGTGGACCGCGTCCGGTTTGTCCGGTCACCGGCTGGTGGACATCCGAGTCGTCTCCACTTTTTGGCCGTGATGACTAACGCCGCTGCTGTGAGCGTCCGTGTACAAATTTGTGCGTGAACACGTTTCTGTTCCCGTCGGGCATGGCCCTGGGAGCGGAACTGCTGAGTCGCCAGGCAGTAACTGTCTTTAGGCTTTTTCAGGAACACTAGTCTGACCCCAACACGGCCGCACCAGCTTCTGTTGCCATGAGCGATGCGTGAGGTTGCAGCCCTGCCCACCTGGCCAACACTTGCTACTGTCCACTTTTGATGAGAGCCGTGCTAGTTGGTACAAAGTGGGGTGTACTACCTTCTAGGTCAACATGAACGGGAGGCGTGTCTGCGAGCGTTTGCTTATTGTACAGAGCAGCCCTGGGACACTGCAGGAGAATCTAGCAGCCCCGGCTGCCCCTGGGGCGGGGGGCTGGGGGCTGCTGGCCGGCGTAGAGGGAGACTTCCTAGTCTCTGTACGGCACTACTACACTTTAGAGCATGTGGAAGTATCAGCTGTAAAGTCGTCTGAACTGAAACACAAGTTAAAAACCATACGTGCTGACTCATAGCCAGAGCTGGCACCTGTGGACAGAATCTGGCCTGCCACCCGCTCTGGTGTGGCCTGTGAGCTAAGTCATTCTTGCGTTTTTAAACATTTGAGGGGGGAAAAAACAATAAAATGAGTCTTTCATAGCACATGAAAATTATCTGAAACTCAAATTTCAGAGCCCCCAGTAGACGTTTGTGGGGACACAGGCAATGCTTATGCTTATTTTCAGTGGGTGTCGTCCTGCTCCTGTGGCAAAGGGGAGTGTGGAGGGACGCTCTCGTCACTGTCCCTGCCTCTGGAAGCATGGCAGAGTGCACTTAGTCATAACTCAGTGCTATTTGGGGTGTCACAGAATAGTGCCATAGTGTGAATTTAGAAAAAATGACCAGCGATGCCCTTGATGTCAAAACAAGAAAAGAAGAGGAAGGTGGAGTGCAGATGCCGCATTCACAGTGTGCAGGGCAGGGCGTTGTTGAACCACGTGGCGGGTGGCATGTTTGTTAGGCAGCGGCGTTGCGGCTGCCGCAGAGTGCCTGGGGCGCCCACAGTACCAGACCGAGCTGTCCTTGAAAGAGCCCCAAATTGCAGGAAAGTGATAATCAGAAAAATGAGAAAATTTCAAACCATATCTCATGACAGACATCTTCACATGAATAAAAAATGAGAAAGTATTGGTTACCAAGTCCTGGCTGGTGTGGCTCAGTGGATTGAGCACCGGCCTATAAAGCAAAGGGTCCCCGGCTCGATTCCCAGCCAGGGCACATGCCTGGGTTGCAGGCCAGGTCTGCAGCTGGGGCATGCGAGAGGCAACCAATCGGTTTCTCTCCATCTCCTTCTCCTTTCTCTAAAAAATAAATAAAAATAAAATATATTTTTAAAAAAAAAAGAATTGGCTACCAAAATAAGTAATCAAGTGGCTGTCGGGTTACCCAAGAAAGAAAGGCATGTGTAAGCGCCAACTTAATTAAATGGTGTTTGATTGCAGAAGCAGAGTACATGTGTCCAGGAAAAAAAAATATTGAAGAACACTAGCCTCGCATTGAGAATTGTTGCTTGAAGAATTTCGGGCTTTGAGAGCAATAACAATTTATAACCAGGGCAGCCGTGACCACTCAGCCCTTGCTTATTCTTGTAAGTTAGCAGTGACCGAAGATTGGTCTCTACGACCCGTCCGCACTGAACAACTACGGGTGAGAGTATTTCCGAAGAAGGTGATACCTTTTTGCAGAATAAAGTCTTTAATTCCTTTGCAAAATGGTAATAGGATGCTAATGAGATTAGAATGGGGGTACGGATGGTAATAATAAGAGGAACGGGACCCTAACTGGCCACGGTTGGGGGTACTTGAGGATGAACACAGGACTTTGAAGACGGGGCAGGAAAGAGGAAGGAACGTGCCTGGCCTGCCCACCCGGGCGTTCGGGAGCCGGCAGCTGGGAGAGGAAGTTTCCGGGAAGCATTCCCTCTCACGGGGGATCCCGGGCCCCTCTTCACCCCTGATGAGTTCACGAGTGCAGACAGTGGACTTCAGTTGTGCTTTTAACAAAAAGAAAGCAAGACACCAGGTTCTTCCTGAGGGAAGTAAGGCGGCAACGCCCACGAGGCCATCTGGCCATGGGCGCCCAACCTGGGTCTGAGGGGGCCTCCAGGCCCAGCGCCAAGTTCACGAGAAATAGGACGGAGGACCGTGTTAGACGGCAGCAAAATCCAAGCGGGAGGAAATAATCGTCTCAGGGAACTAAAAAGGGAGATGGATGAGGGACCCACGTGCTCAAAAGAACTTGGGAGTCACATCCAGGGATCTTGGTTTTGGGCCTTTAGTTGTTGTTTTTCGAGCAGTTTTAGGTGAGCAGCCAACTGAGTGGAAGCTTCGCAGGTTTCCTCTCCCCCTCGACCCCCCGCACACGTGTGGTGATCTGTCATCCACGCCTCTCGCCAGGTGGTACCTTCGTTACCACCGATGAACCTACGAGGCATGTCACTATCACCCAGAGTCCAGACTTGACACTGCCGTTCACCCTCGGTGTGGCACGTCATACTCACAACGGCATCACCACATCCAAGGTCTCCTTGGTTTTCTCCTACGTCACCTCCTAGGAGTTTCATTCTTCTGAGTTTTCCACTGTGGTCTGCGATCCCTTTTGAGTTCGTTTTTGTGAAGGAGGCCGTGTCTGTATCTGGGTTCCTTTTCTGCAGGGGGGTGTCCAGGTGTTTCTGAACCATTGGTTGAACAGGCTGAATTCTCGCGACTGAATCACCTTCACTCATTGTTAGAGATCAGTTTGCTCTGTGGACGTGGGCCTGGTTCAGTGCCGTTCCGTGGGCCCGGCAGTCGGTCTTTTGCCGATACCCCCCCATCTCGATCGCAGGAGCTTTATGTAAGTCTTGAAGTAGGGCAGCGCCGGTCCCTCAACTTTGTTCTTCTCTTTCAATACTGTGTTGGCCATTCTGGGTCTTTTGCCTCTCTGTGCAAATTTTAGAATAGGTCCGTTGATAACACCAAGACAATTTGGGGGGCTTTGACTGGGATAGCAGTAAATCTGTAGATCCATTTGGGGGGAACTGGCAACCTGACGGTATCGAGTCCTCCGCCTCAGGAATGCGAACTCTCTGCATTTATGTAGTTCTTCGTTGGGTCCGATCACCAGACTATTGTCCTCGGGTCGACCTCCTATGTCGATTTATGCCTAAGCATTTCACTGCTGGGGAATTAATGTAAACGGTGCTGTGCTTTTAAAAAATCCGATTCCACTCGTCACTGGGTCATTGCTGGTGTCCAGAAGAGCAATTTAATTTTGTATTTTAAATTGGTAGCTTGTAAACTGGCTATAACTGCTCATGAGCTCTGGTGGGATTTTTTTTTTTGTCAATTTTTGGATTTCGTACATAGATGGCCTTGTTATCTGCGAACAAAGACAATTTTGTGTCTGTCTTCCTTAATCTGCATACCTTTTTACTTCCTTTTCTTGCCTTACTGCATTTGCTAGAAATTCCAGTACATGTCAGGAAGCAGAGGCAAGAGGGGACGCCCTTCTCTCACACTTGACCTTCCAGAGAAAGCTTTGAGTTTCTCCCCATTAAGTAAGAGGTCAGCTGTGGGCTTTTTGTAGATATTATTTCATTTTTTAAATTAATTTTGTTATTGCATTTTTTCCACTACCGTTTATCCCCCATACCCTCTTCCACCACCTCCTGCTAATGTTCTTTACCAGTTGAGGGAGTCCCTCTCCATTTCTAGTTTACTAAGATTTCTATCATTTACCAGTGTTGGATTTTGACAAATACTTTTTCTGCGTCTGTTGATTGGTCATGTGGCTTTTTTTTTTTTTCATTTTTAGCCTGTGGATGTGACGGGTCGCACCGATCTTCAGATGAGGGGCCAGCTTCCCTTGTGCACCTGGGACGCATCCCACTGGCTCACGGTATATAATTCCTTTCATACATCGTTGGATTCAGTGGGCTAATGTTTTGTCATAGATTTTTGCCTCTGTGTTTATGAGAGAGACTGATCTGTAGTTTTTGTAACGTCTTTGATTTGTTGTACAGTAATGCTGGCATCGTGGGATGAATGTGGACGTATTTCCTCTACTTCTGTCCTCTGAGAGACCGCAGGGAATCGGTGTCATTTGTTCTGTAAAGGGTTTGGTGGAATTTCCCAGCGAACCTATCTCAGACTGCTGCCTTCTGATTTGGAAAGTTGTTAATTATTGATTCAGTAGCTTTAATATATGGGGCAAAGGTAGGTTTACAGTTGTCGTATGGAAAATAATACAATAGCTAATAATAACACAAGAATAAACTCTGTGCTTCACGTACTCACAACTACAAGCCCACTTTGGCCCCCCCATGTGTAGGCCCATTTAGGTGGTCTCTGTGTGTTCTTGTGTGAGTTTTGGTCGATTGTATCTTTCTGGGAAATGATCCATTTCATGTAGATTATCACATTTCTGGGCCAAGAGTTCGTACTATGCCTTTAATATCCTTTTAATCCCTTTACAGTCTGTAGTGATGGCCCTTCTTTTATTTCTGACATTAGTAATGTATATCCTCTCTCTCTTTTTCTCAGCGTAGCTAAGGCTTATCAATTTTATTCATGTTTCCAAAGAATCAGCATTGGGTTCATAATTTTCTCTAATGATTTCCTGTTTTCAATGTTATTGATATCTGCTCAGATTTCTATTGTTTATTTTCTTTCGCTCCCCTTAATTTTTTCTTTTTCCATTTTCCTCAGGTGGAAGCTAAGATGAGGGGCGTTAGATCTCCCCTCTTTTCTAATATATGGATTCAGTGCTGTGAATTTCAGTGCTGTTGCTATTGGTTGAAATATTCCTGAAATTCACAGCTTTGGCTGCATCCCAGCAATTTTGACAAGTTATTTTCATTTTCATGTATTACTCAAAGTGTTATCAGTTTTCCTGCGATTTCTTCTTAGACCCATGTGTCATTAGAATGGTGTGGTTTAATCTCTATGCATTTGGGGATCTTCCCATTCATCTTTCTGCTTTTGATTTCTGGTCTAATTCCTTTGGGTTCCGAGAGGAGACATTGTACGGCTTCTATTCTTTTACATTTGCGAAGGTGTGTTTCTGTGGCCCAGAAAGTGTTCCATGTGAGCGAATGTTTCTTGCGAGCTTGGGGAGAATGTGTGCTCTTCTGAGGCTGGGTGATGCAGTCTGCAGATGTCAACGGTATCCAGGCAACCGACGGCGCCCTCGAGTTTGACTCCGCCCTTTCTGATTCTCCTTCTGCCTGCCCAGGTGACCCCTTCTCAGAGAGAGGCACCGAATTCTCCAATGGGATAGTAAACACAAGTTTCTCCTTGCACGTCTACCAGTGTTTGCCCCAAGTGGCCTGACACTCCGTCATCCAGCGCATGCACACGACGGGTCGTCTGCTCCTCTGGGAGGACTGACCCCTTTGTCATTGTGACCCCTGGTGACATGTCTTAGCTTTTCGAAGCCGGCGCCATCTGGAATTAGTATAGCGCCTCCTGCTTCCTTTTCATGAGCGTCAGGATGGTATATTTTTCTCCATCCATTTCCTTTTGAACTATGCGCGTCTTGTAAATGGGTTTCTTGTAGACAGTGTACAGCTGGGCCTTCCCGCACCCTCTGACAGTGTCTGCTTTCCGTGACACGGGTGTTCAAAGGGAAGGTTCACGGGGCTGAAGCGATGCTCAGTGTATTTCTTACTTTTTTTACTTACTGCCCCTTGTTCTTGGTTCCTCTTTTCGTCTTTCACTCTTTCTGCCCCTGGTGGACTGAACTGAGTATTTCATAGGATTCATGTTCTTTTTCCTCGGCGTTATCACTTGCTCTTTTTTGGACTGTTTTCAGTCGATATCCCAGTCTGCCCTACACAGTGAGGACCAGTCCAAGTGCACTTTCGCATCCCCTCGCACCACTCCAGGTGGTGCCGTGGGGGACCGCTCCCAGCCCCTCCCCCGTCCCTCGCGAAGCTGCTGGCACCCACTCGTTCATGCAGAGTCACACGTAAGCGTGTGTGTACACATGGGCGTACACAATCCACACATTGCTGTCGTTGCTGCTTTGAGCAAAATATGTTAGATTTATTGAGAATGCGAAAAATAAAAGGTTTTGCTTTGTGGTCACTACCTCACCTCAGTGCTCTGTCTTCCTGCCTTTATGCAGATCTGAGTCTCCGGCCCAGGTTATTTTCCTTCCCGGTCAAGGTCTTCTTCTAACATTTCTTGCGAGGGGAGTCTCCTGGCAACAAATTCCCTCAGTTTGTATTTGTCCGAGGAGACCTTGATTTCTCCGTCACTTTTGAAAACTGACTTCACAGGCACCAAACTGTAGGTTGGTGGGGTTTTGTCTCTCAACACTTTAAGTATTTCACGCCGCTCTGTTCTCGATGAGATGGTTTTCAAGGGGCGTCGAGTGTAACTCTTACCTTCGTGCTCCTGTGGCTAAGGTGTTGTCCTCCTCTGGCTTTTCTTTCTTTTCTTCAGGATTTTATTCCTCTTTGATTTCCTGTAGTTTAAAAATGATATGCCTAGATGTAGGTGGGGTTTTGTTTTTCAATGTTTTGTTTTGCAGTTTTCCTGCTTGGCGTTAGCTTCCTAGACAAGTGGATTGAGGCCGGCCTTAACTCAGAGAGATTCTCTGTCCTTACCGTTTTAAGTATTTCCTCCGCTTCTCTCCCTCTCCCACTTCTGGGCTCCCACCTGCCGCACCTGCCGTAACTGCCCTGAGTCCTTAGCTGTTCTGGGGGGAGGGGGACTGCGGTCCTTCTTCTCTCTGCTTCTCCGTTTTTGAGGATTCCATCGGCATAGCCTGTGGCTCAGAGACTCCACCCTCAGCCGCGCCCAGCCTGCAGACAAGCCCATGGAAGGCATTCCTCGTTTCTGTGTCTGTTACAGCATTTGTTGCTGTTGTTGTTTTAGTTCGTTCTTACGAGTCCCGTCTCTGTTCACATCACCCATCTGTTCTTGCATGCTGTCTGTTTTATCCATCAGAGGCCTTAGCATATTTTCCTGGTTGTTTTAAATGCCTGGTCTGAGCGTTCTGGCGTCCTTGTCACATCCGATTCTAATGCTTGGCCCGTCTCGTCCAGTCGGTAGTTCTTCCCTTCGGCAACTCTTGTGTTTTTTCCTTGGTAGCCAGACACCGGGTGCTGGGAAAGGGAACCGCGGTCAGCGGGCCTCAGAGACGTGGTGGTGAGGTGTGCGGGAGGGAGGCAGCTGCAGTCCTGAGGTCGGGCCCAGTCCCCAGCGAGCCTGGGCCTCTGAGCTGGCAGCGTCACCCGTGTTTCTCCGTCATTTCCTCCCCCTTGGGTGGGACGGGGGTCCTAGTGGGGCTGGAGTTGGGTGTGTCCCTTCCCAGGTCACTGGGTCCGACTCCGGTAACTAGTGTCCTTGGCAGCACACTTCGTCTGACCCGAGTCCTTCTGGGGTATTTCCAGAAGGGCCTCTTTCTCCTCCCCCTCCTTTGAGGGGGGTTGGCTCAAAGGTTGACTGTGGCCCTGGCTGGTGTGGCTCAGTGGATTGAGCACCAGCCTGTGAACCAAAGTCACGGCGACCTCCCTCCTCCTCTAGCGTCACTTTCCCGCTGCATCCAGTGGTCCTTCTCTTGCCGATGCCGGGTGACCACGGCCCAGCCGTGCCCCTTCCACGCCTTTAGGGCCCCGATCTGGCTGGATCTAAGGGTGTGTCGCCCCTACGTCTGGGTGGCTCAGTCCTGCGGCATGGAAAGCCACAGCGGGAGAACCTAACTTCCTAGAAATTCCTAATCACTGGCGTCCACCAACCATCTTAGTGTGCTGCTTGTTCTTTCTGGTCAGCACACTCTTCCTCTCTCTGCAAATCTCTCTCAAACGTTCTATTTCCCTCCCGAACCCCTGGACCTCCCCGCTGCCCACCCCGGTCGCCTTCTCCTGCAGCAAGAGTGTGGAGCCAGCTCCCACCACTGAAGGAGGGTCCTTGTCGGCCTGCGGTCCCTCCACACCCCCGCCTCCCCTTCCGAGGCATTAGAACAGGAAGCCATCCCTGCCCACTCGCACCCGTGCTCAGACATCTCCCCACTCAGCCTCCTCGGAACTGTCCCCCGTCCCCTGTGTACTCGACACCTCTTTCTCCAATGGGTCGTTCCTTCTCCTCCCTGTTGCAACACCCACGTTGCTTCCACCTTGAAAAGTAACATGAAAGAAAGACCCCTTTCCTCAATCTAACCTCCTCTGTTCCACACCCCACTTTCCTTCTCTCCTGCACAAACCCCTCATGACTTATTATCAACCGTCCAGGGACCCCGGCTGCCTGGAAAAATCACCCCAGACTTAGTCACATTTATTGATCTAGTGGTTCCCTTGGGTCAGGAATTCGGACAGAGCAAGTGGGGATGCTCCCACCTATTCCACCACACCTGGGCTGCAGCTGGTTGTCCCCAAAGCTGGGGCTGGTGTCACGGGAAGCCTTCTTTGCTGTCGTAAGTGGGGGATCCCTGTCAGCTGGCAGGGGGCAGGGGGGGGTGGCGGGGGACTCTCCAGGTGGTCTCTTTGTGGACCACAGCGGGCCTCTTCCCGGCATGGCTGCTGCTGGGTGCCGAGGCACTAAAACACAGCAGCAGGGGGGGTCCATTTCTTAGAGGCACAAAGTAGGGGGGTAGTCACCAGGGCCTGAGGAGAGGGGACAGTGGGGGCTGGTGTTTGATGGGGACAGAGTTTTGCAAGTTGAAAATAATCCTGGAGGTTAGTAATGTGAAAGCACTTAACATTATTGGAATAGACACTCAGAAATGGTTGAAGGGTAAATTTGTGTGTGTGTTTTACCACAGCGGGGGCGGGGGGAGCTGTGTGTTTCTGGGCCCTTTTTTACAACCCGTCTCACAAGCAACAGACCGTCCATCCTGCAGTTCTCTGTCAATCAGAGGAGTGACAAGAGCACCCAGGTTCAAGAGTTTGGGAACAGACACCCCCCAAAGTGAGAGACAAGGTTCTGGAAGAGGGTGTGGACCCGAAACGATGCCCATCTGTAAAAATGTCGTCTTTCACGCAAACTCCCCACTTCCTGCGTCCTCAGAAGCCACACCCCCCTGCTCTCTCCTGGCTTTCTTTTCTCTCTCTCTCTTTCTTTCTTTTTCTTTTTGGCTTTTGTTTCTTAACTGCTCTCGTGAAAGGTGCAAGCATTTTCCATGTTGACGAAGCAAATATGTTTTTGTTTTACTTTGCTCTGATATATATGGACATGTTCAAACACATTCAAAAGTTGAGAGAACAGCAACACAAACCACCCATCTCCATCAATTACCAATCTTTGCAAATCTTGTCGCACTGATCCCCCCTTTTGA